GGTGGCGCGGGGCGCGCGCGGCGGCGGCGGTGTCGCACGTGTTCGTCGCGGACCTTTAAATCTCCGGGGATTTAAAACGTGTATGCGTGTTACGAGCGCGGGCATTGTCGCGAGGGTGAAATGTTCGCGAGATATCTGGACCATTCAGGTCGGAGAACGGGCTCGTTCCCTGCCGAGAATGCTCGGCTGACAGGGATGTACCCCTCATCTGTCTCGAAAGTGCCGAGTGAATTCGACCAGCCGGGGAGAGCCCCAGCTATGACGGAAGATGGAGGTATCGGTGCTGAGTGAACTTAGCCGACCGGGGTGTATCCTGGTGTTCGGAATCGGTCGGTGGTATCGGGAGGAACCCCGATACACGGCGATGGAATTCAGAGACGGCGGAGTTGGATCGAGCGAATTCGATGCACTGGGAAGACTCCAGCAGCTCTCGGCTTGCCGTGAAAGGCTTCGGAGACGGCTTTCGGCCAAACCAAGCGAACTTGGCGCGTTGGGGAGGACCCCAACAGAACTCAAGCTTTTTACCAGATTCGAATACTCGCTTTCCTTGAGACGTGCTCTCAGAAGGCGAGCGTGAAACAGGATCATCTTCTGTAGAGAGCAATGCTTTTTTATATCCGAGATCGACCTCGGTATTTTTCGGTCGGATCGTTCGGATTGGAGTTAGCATCCGATCTCGATCTCGAAGTTAGCATCCCTCTCCCCAGAAGTGGAAAAAAGGATCGGATATAATTGATTTTTTGGGATGATAAGGAATCGGAGCGGGGGATGTGAAAGAGTAGGAAAGGAATTCGGTGGTACGGTAACGGCGCGGCACGGGGTCGGTTACGCGCTTATGGCGCGGTGCGGGATGCTCGCTCGCTTGCGTGGCACGATGTCGATGTGACGCGGGGCGCATTAACGCTCGCTGATACGGCACGTGGTGCGAGGTATGCTAGCGCTTGCTGGCGCGGCGTATAGTGCGGCGCGGGGGGAATACCATGAATACAGTCTTGTTTACGCGATATTCCCGTGCTCTGCTCCGATGCTTTGGAATTCGCGAATGTAGAAGATTAAAAAGGGAGACATAAAGGAGTAGCCTCTTGTGGCCACTGCTGCACTCCGTCTGATGGTCGGCGGTCCCCGGATGGTCGGTCGGGGGAAAGTCGGAGAGGAACGAAGCGGAGGGATATGCACTCCGTTATAATTGTTTAAAATAATTATTAAATATCTATTATTAAATATCATATTTTTCTAAGAACTCGCATTTTTAAAAAAAAATTATTCTTTTATATTTTTTCATTATTATTATTATTATTATATATTATTTCATTATTATATAAAAAACAAGTGTATTGTGTGTCATGTATATAAAATAAAACAAAATTGGAAATGACATTAAAACCAAAAGTTAAGTATGCAGCAAGTATACCATGCATGATTCATTAAATATTACAATTTTTATTTTACTCTATTTTTTATTATTTTACAGAATTACGGTAAAAATAAAAACTTTGATATAGAATTACATATCGTTTATTTTAAACTTTCCATAAATTAATCTGAAAGTTTTATCCGATATGTTTTTTTCACTTTTTTTATATCATTTTTATTTTATTGCATTTTATATGTTCGATTATGAAGTCTTTCATTCTTCACTACAATATATATTGTTTTCAATCATATTATTATATTAATCTGCCATATGCTTCGAACTCATGCGCAATACATATTTTCGGACATCTTAAGAGAAAGAAGTATCAAAAAAATCACTGAACGATTTTGACAAGCAGCACGAGGCAACGTTGTCGAACTTAATATGATGTATGAATAGATAGAAATTACGATATAACTGAGTATATTCTGCCTGAAACGCTACTAACTCAATGGCTGCGTTCAGCAGAGAAAGCAGATCAGTGAGCGTTCAGTGATTCTTTATTATGATTCTTATTATTGGTTTCTACACTTATATTCAACGAAGATCTAAAAGTAAGGACTAATCATATTGAAAAATCTGAGCGCTCATTGATCTGCTTTCTCTGCTGAACGCAGCCAATGAAATATACATATAGAAATAAAGTTAAATTTTAAATGTAAAAAAAAATAATTTTAGATAAATTTTTATAATGACAATACATAATATGATATAGCAATACAAATTTTATCAATTGTCATATTATACAAATAAAATTATACATGGCTTTTCTAAAAATAAAAGTTAATAACAATTGTTAATAACAATTAGCAATTTATATCTAAAACAAAAAAAGTTACAAATTATTTAAAAAACATACATTTATAATATACAACTAACATAAATTTATTATATAAAACTAATTTATTATATGATTATTTATTTATTATATGATATTATTTATTATATGTATATGCAAATATGCAAATTAAAAAATAAAAAAAATACATTAGACAAAACAATATGTTAAACGCATTGTGAATATATAAATAGTAGTGTAGTGAATATATATTAATATATATTGTGAACGCATTATGAATATATAATAGTAGTAATAGTGAATATATATTAATTGTTAATAAATTTAAAAAAAATATTGTTAGTGTATCTTCATCAATATTAACTTTATAAAATATATAAAATATAGAAAACAAGTATTATACTATATAAATAATGAATGAATGAAATAAGTAAATAATGAATAGAAATAAAAAGTTCATAAATCATAGACTTACACAAAATAATATAAATTTAAAAAATGAAGAAACAAATATTGACAAATGTTGATATAATTAAAAGTATGTCATATTAAAGGATACCATAAATATAAAATACAATAATACAATAAACATAAAATTTAAAGGCAAATGCAATGTTAAACAAATTAAGATGCTTTAACTTCTAATATTCATAAATTAATGTTTTATTTCTTCCATACAACTCATCAATCATTAGTTTGTTCCTCAGTCGATTCATCTCAATACGAACGAAGGAAAAAGCAGTAAAGAAAGAAATTTAACAACTAAAGTTAAAATTTTAATTTTTTTTATAACATCTACGAGATGTATGTTCCCACTTTTTGTTGAACGTTGGGAGCGTCCCATTTGACCTAGAGTGCGTTCCTTTATTCACTCCGAGTACTCGTGCTATGACGTAATGGAAGTGTATTGCGGCTATCGTTCCGTTTTAATTTCGTGCGCTTTCTAACTGTTTCAAAATTATAAAACGGAACGCAGTTGCAATAGCATGTTTTC